ATTGCGAATAAAACCTAGTCTCTCATAAACATATTTACATCAAAAATATTTCAATGAAAATATTATTGGTATCATATCAGTAAAGAAATGTTTTGTTTATTATTAATATATATATACAATAATATATTTATTATTTTATATAATAAAAAATGTTTGCCATTTTGCAATTCCACGTACAAAATGGATACGATTCGACGGATGAAGGCGATCGTCTTTGCAACTATACTTCTTAAATAGCTCGTTTTATATACTCCAAGCATTGGAATAATGATGATGATGGTAATAAGGTCATTATAGGGATTAAACGTATAATTTACCGGTTTCCACGACAGGTTAATCGTCGTTTGTAGAAAGTATCTGGGGCGAACAGGTGTGGATTTCGAAAAATGAAGGAAAGGTGGCTGAAAGATATATACATATAATAAAGAGAAAAAAAGAGGTAAGCAGGAGCCTATTTTATAAACGAAAACATTATTGATACCCTATATTTAATATGCTGTCGGGTAAAACTTAATCATGCTTTATCCAGATAAAGAATAAGAAAAAATAAAAAGAATTATCTTTCGACGTCAACACACAATGAAACATTTTGTCAAAAATAAAGATAAAGAACCAACTGACGTACTTCGTCGAAGGAAGTCGATGTTCGAAGCTCTCCTTCTACGACCATTGCGTAAAAAGTAAATTACTTTCTAACCGAACGTGGCTGTCACGAGCATAAACGCTCATACTGAGACTGCACGTGATTTATTCGACATTTAACGCGGTTTATGTTGCCGTGTGTGCGAAATATATTCGTCCCGACTTCGACATTTAAATATCAACGAGAGAATTGTTCGAGAGATTCCGTAACTTCGAGATATGAGTATTATTGTTCGAATCAGGCGATGCTTTTTTCTTAATGAATCCATAATACATAATTCGATAACACTGACCAGTTCAAAGTTTTAATCGATATTAAATCGCTCTAAAAATAGTGATGTCTTATCGCGATAAGCAGTGCAGGCGAAAAGGCGACATTATAAATAATTCGGACACGTTTTGTATATAAACAACCTCGACGAGACCTTCAAAGTTGTATATATTTCAAATCAATATATTTAGGCCTTCTCTCTCGTATGAAGAGGCTTTCGCCAGAAATACATCGCGTGTACATGTTTTTTTTTTTTTTTTTTGAAGGTGAAAATATTCAAAATTCTGACTTTCGATAATACTCTTTCCAAAAAGATATATATCATTTTATCAATTTCGACGTATTATTATAAATTATTATGTGTTCGTTTAAAAATCGGAATACTAATTTATATTACATTTATTATTTTTTTTTTTTTTTTTTTGCTTATTATTTTTACCAC